GGCTTCAGGCGAGGGCAGTGCAGTCAGGGCGGCAGCCTGCAGGTGGCACCCTGAGTCCCGCTCTTAGGCGCAGGAGCCCACTTTTTGGTCCCACTCACAGCTGAGCTATGAGGCCTGGAACCTACTATTTTAGTCCTGCACATTCTCCTAATTCCACAGATGATGGAGAGGGCCTGTTGCAACTCTGCCTGCGTAAGCGGGGACGAAACAAAACAGCACCACCTCTCTCGACTTCACCCTCTGAGCTCCGCGGCAGCCCAGCACGGAACAAAACACAGATAGGAAGGGCCATGACCTGGGTGTGTCACTGCCAAATTTCTATTTCCTTTTACAGATAAATTGTGGGCAGATGTCTGCCGGAGAGTCCAGACCCCTTCTTTTCAGCCCTGGCCCCCCACCCCCGCCGTCCAGTGACCAGTGAATGTGTGGCCTGGTTGCCCACTGTTCAAGCTGGAAACCTGGGGCTCACTTCAGCTCCCCACTCCCTGCCCCGAGGCCGGCTGCAGCCAGGCCCGCACCCGGGCGAGCGTGCACACAGGACGTCTGCCCACCTTCCTGGGACGCAAACCCACTCGCCCTCCTGCCTCTCCACTGCCGCTCCTGGGGAGCTCACGAGGGCGAGGAGCCCCGCGCCCATGACAGAGTCCCTCGCGTCGGGCCCAGCGCTCGGCCCACAGCGAGCCCTCCTGCGGCTGTCTCCGGGCTGCTTTGCCCTGGAACGCCCTTCCCAGGTCCAGCTCTCTGACAGAAGCAAGCGAGGTTGGTGGTGACGTGACCGCCTTGTCTTGTTACTGCAGTGGGAGCAAGATGTCCGAAATTGTTGTGCCGTTTCCTACATACGGCACAGTCCAGAGCTCCCAGAGCTTGGTAAGAAGGTGCTTCGACTCCCGGCTGTCTCCCACTCTGACCCACTGACTCACCCAACGAACCAAGACTCCCGCGGCCCCAGAGTTACAGAGCAGCAGCTCTCCCCGTCCTGTGTCCGCAGCCGTGGGGGCGCCTGCAGAGCCGGCCGTGTAGGGCGCGGTGCCGTTACTTCCTGATGTGCCCTTTCCTTTTTTCCTGTCTCCAGAAATGATCTTCAGGACACAGCCACGCTCGCGGGGCTTCAGGACACGGCCACGCACGCGGGCCTTCAGGACACGGCCACGCACGCGGGGCTTCAGGACACGGTCACGCACGCGGGCCTACAGGACACGGCCACGCACGCCGGCCTTCAGGACAC